GATTGATATGTAATTTTTTTATAATTAATATTTTTATAATTTTTTATTTTTAGTTAATAGCTTTTATAATATGAAATTCGCGAAGGAAATCTTTAAATTATCAATAATAATAAGGTATAAATGAAAGATGGTTAAATGCTAAATTTGGTCTCTTAACTTTAGTGAGTTGCCATTTTTGATCATTCAACAATTTTTTACACTTTTTTGATCCCTCAACTATACGAAATGCACTCCGTTAGTCCTTCTGTTAACTCTGCTTATATGGCATTTTTTATATTTTTTTTGATGATGTGGAGAGCAAAATTTAAAAAGTAATGATGTGCACAAGAACTTTTGTCATGTCATGCTTCCGTGGCCAAAACGCGCCAAATTTGTCCAAATGGGTCTCACATCACCACTAAGAATTGCTTCTTTGCCCATTGATTACTGTTTATGTTCTTTCTGTCGACAATGTTCTTTCCATTCAAGATTAAAATCATTTAGACAATACTTAAAAAATATGAAGAAAAAAACTCAAAAATCACTCACAACAACCTGCAATTTGGATAATCTCTTGATAAACAAACATATAACAAAGAAAAAAAAAGTTGAGTTGGGTTCGCCAAAACCCAGCAAATAGATTCCATCGAACCCAGCTCGATTCACTGGAATCCAGTTGTCCAAAAATCCATCACAACAACCTGCAATTTGAATAATCTTTTGGCAAACAATCATATAACAAAAAAAAAAAAAACCAATTGCACAAAAATCCCTCACAACAACATGTAATTTAGATAATCTCTTGGCAAACAATCATATAAACAAAAAAAAAAGAAGTGGAGCCGGGTTCGGTGGAACCCAGCCTGGGTTCCACGGAACCGAGCAAATGGGTTCCACGGAACCCAGGTCTGCTGGGTTCCGTTCGATGACCTGAGGAAGAAAGACGTGAGGAAGAAGAGGAAGAAAGAAGAGGAAGAAAGAAAAAGAAAAAAAGAAAGGAAGAAGATGGATACAATTATTTTATTTTATTGTTTAAAAATATAAATAATAATAAGATGAGTTGGCATGAGTTGTAATAAAAAAAAATTTTACGTTGATACGTTTTTAATTTGTTTTTGCAACATCATCAAAAAAATATAAAAAATGCCACATGAGCGAGTTAATGACCCAAATTAACAAAAGAACTAACGGAGTGCATTTCGTATAGTTGAGGGATCAAAAAAGTGCAAAATTTTGTTGAGGGATCAAAAATGTGCATTTCGTAAAGTTGAGGGACTAAATTTAGCATTTAACCATGAAAGATTTAATTGTTAATTTTTAAATTTTTTTATAAATTTTAAAATATAAAATGTGTTTATCGGAGTACGTTTTGAAAGTGATCAGCGTGAAAAAAACTAAAACCCTAACCGCGAAAACATCCAGTAGCAAATATCCTTCCATACCCTGAATCCAGGGCTCCGAGCCATGGCGAACAAACTCGAAGCAGCCATGGAAACTCTACACCAATTGAAATCAACTGAGCCGCCGGTGTGGCTGGCCCCGAAACAGGAGTTATCGGAAGTTGTACGGGCGGCTTCGAGGCACCTGTTCTCGTGCTTGAAACCGTACACACGAAAGTCGCCGTTCGATCAGCTGTTGGTCGAAGGATTCGACGCAGAGCAGATATGGCAGCAAATCGACCTCCAGTCGCAGCCACTTATATCCAGCCTCCGCCGTGAAGTGAAGAAGTTTGAGAAGAATCCTGAGGAGATTTCAAGGATTAAGGAGTTTCTGGAAGGAGGAAAGAAGAATGCTTTGGTGGAGAACGAGAATGGTAAAAGAATGGAACATGATGATGAAGATGACGACTTGAATTTAGATGATGATGATGATGATGATGATGAGGAGGAGGAGGAGGAGGAGGAGGAGGAGGAAGAAGAAGAAGAAGAAGAGGACAGAGGCAAAAAAGGAGAAGGGGAAAGTGAAGAAGATGGGAGTGAAATGGAGGAAGAGGGGAAAAGTGGGATAGAGGATAGGTTTTTGAAGATAAAGGAGTTGCAGGAATATTTGGAGGAGGATGAAGCTAGAGAATTTGGATTGAAGAAGAAGAAATCTGCAGAAAATAAAAAGGAAGAGGAAGATGAGGAGGAGGAGGAAGAAGAAGAGGATAATGAAGAAGAAGAAATGGATGAGGATGAGGTGAGTAATTTTGTTTTCCGTTTGTTTATGGTGGAGACTTTCTGGATTTGAATTGATTTTGTAACATACAGAGTCTTTGCAAGATCTTTGTTTTTTAGTGTTGTCTAGCATAAGGGTATGCTAACTAAAATGTTCCTTAATTGAGCTTTTCTTTGGAGATTATTCTCTATATTCTTTCTACATATACGATGCTGACGTTGGTGCAGATTTATGTCTTAGTTTGCATTTTAATCATTGAATTCTCTCATGTTGCAGCTTGGTATTTTTGATGGGGATGATGAAGAAGATGCGGAAAATGCCAGGTTGTTATTTCGTAGTATCTTGTTATTATCCTTCCCTTGTATTTGTTCTCACTGTTATTATTTGGAGTGCCTTTTCTTCTGAAAGCAAAACTAATTTTCAGTCACTCTTGGTGTGAAAATTTGATGATAAAGATGCAAAGTCCTGCTCCTCAATCTTGGTATTATTAGTGGTAATGCCACTATCATATTGGCTTTCAATGAGACGTAAAAACTCTGCTACAACACCACTACTTTAACTACTAAAGAACGATTGGTGCTATTATAACATCTTTCCAGCTGAAGTCATTGCATAACCATAAACATTCTTCTTTTCTGCCTCAATTTTGATTGAAATTTCATCATTTGGATTTTGCTGCATATTTTACTACTGCCAACATACTTAGCAGTGTGCTTGATGACAATCCCTTCTCTGATCTGTCAATCTTGTGAATATATGATACTCAGATATGAAGACTTCTTTGGTTCTAATAAGAAGAAAGGTTCAAAAGGAATATCAAAATTCATTGAGGGATCTGAAGAAGACTTGGGTTCAGATGATGACCAAGATGATGACCAAGATGATGACAAGGCCACAGGAAATCATGTATTATATCATCACAATATCTGACTCTTTTTTATCATAATCTTTTGGGTTAAAATTTCATTGACAAACAGCTTATATATTGAGTTCATGAAAATAACTAAGTATTTTTTGGTTTGTAGAAAAAAGATGGCCTTTCTACACACGAAAAGGAACTTGAGAAGCTTCAATCTAAAATAGAGCAGATGGAGAAAGCAAATTTGGACCCGAAAGTTTGGACAATGCGGGGAGAGGTGACTTTGTTATAGCTGTAGCAACCTCTGATTATGTCATTTGCACAATTTCACCATGTTCTAAGATATTAATCAGTCAATGTATTAGAATGTGAATGGAATTCTATATGATATCTTCTTTGGTGATAGGTAACTGCTGCTCAAAGGCAAAAGAATAGTGCATTGGAAGTTGATTTAGATTTTGAGCACAATGTGAGGCCTGCCCCTGTTATCACAGAAGAGGTTACAGCATCACTTGAAGATATCATTAAGAATAGGGTTGTTGAGGTAAACTTGTAATTAGTTTAATTTAATATTTTTTTAATGTAATTTCAAATGCTTGCTTGTGGTGAAATTTTTGTTTTGAAAAGCTAAATATTTGCTATTATTATCTGCAAATTGCTTGGATGTCCACATATATTTCTGCTTTATTTATATTTGGTGGAAAATGTTTGTTTTTATTTGATCTGAAAGTTTTATATAGATTTGAGCCATTGATGTATGTGTATGTGACAAACTGAAGTGGCTGTGGGTTTTTGTTATGCTCCTAGATATAAGCTTTACTTTTCTGATATCCATGCTTGCTAATGCATGTTACGTGGTAAGTGCAAAATTCTAGATTTTTTTGTCTGATATGCATTGCTGTCCTACAGATGTCATGATTTATTCTTTTTCTTTTGGCCATCAATTTATCTTTCTTTGTTGCTCACTGTATTTTCTGTTGTTGTTATGTGTTTCACAGTTTTTCTCTGATCAGTGAACACTTTTTTAACTTTTCACTGTTGACTGCTTGTTCCACTTGCCAATGAAAAGGATTACTAACAAGAAATAATGTTTTTATTTTATTTAGGGGCGATTTGATGATGTTCAGAAGGCACCTCATTTACCGATTAAAGCTCCAAAAGATGTCAAAGAGCTGGTGAGCTGTATTATTGAAAAATGTACTTCTGAAGTTTAGTTCCTAGATAAATTTTTATTTATTAAGTAAAACTAATTATCTCAAGCTGGATTCTTTTGATTCTGCAGGATGAGACCAAGAGCAAAAAGAGTCTTGCTGAAATTTATGAGGTCTGTATACCATGTGACTATTGTAAATTGTAATACTTTGTCCAAGACAATCTCCATCGGGCCACCAGTCAACCATTCTCTGTGTTGATAGTCATTTAACTGGCCTTGTACATTATGTTTAAAATTGAAAATGTGCAGCCTTGATAAAAAGTTTGATCTTTTACTCCTTTTGATTAAATTCAAAAGCATAAAATGAGTTCATATGTTTCTTTTCAGGAAGAATATATGAAGAAGACGAATCCGGCTTCAGCCCCACTGTCCTTCTCAGATGAACAAAAGAAAGAGGTGCAATATATATGGTTTCGTTCTGTAATTGCAATTGTACTTGACTACTTTTTTTGAGTTGAATAATCCCCCCTAGTTTATTTGTGCTATTATATGTTAGGAATCCATGAACAAGCTGGTCAGTAATTCATTTTTATGATGCCTTTTATTTTTGATATTCTGGTGTCTTATCAAGGTTGCAAAAAATGCTAGGCAGTAGTGGGTGTTGGGCCACTGCCTAACACCTAGGTCCTGCTTAGTTGCCATTAAAGCCCTGTTAAGCACCCTAGACGTTTTTACTTTTCAGCAAAAAATGTCAAAATAGAACAGAAAATCAAAAAATAAAAAAGGGATAAACCTAATTCTGCTGCCTATGGCCTAGCCAAGGCAGTAGAGCATTGCCTAGTACTTACCAGTGCCTAAGTGCCACCTTGGCAAGCTTTTTGCAACACTGTGTCTTATATAGGGGTTTTGATGGAAGACATCTTATATTTGTTTGATTTGTGGTTTTTACTGTTCTATCAGGCAACCATGCTGTTCAAGAAACTTTGCTTGAAGTTGGATGCACTTTCCCATTTCCACTTCACACCAAAGCCTGTATGTTTCTCAAATATTACAGCAGTTCTATCACTAGATGTTAATATGTGGGAGCTTCTGGTTTATATTTATGTTTTCTTGATTACCATAGGTTATTGAAGACATGTCTATACAAACAAATCTTCCTGCTCTTGCCATGGAAGAGGTAAGATTCCTTTGATTAAGAATCTTGGTTTCACCCTAATCCAACAGTGACTCACAGGCACGTGTTTCTTTTCAATGGTTAGATTGCGCCTGTGGCAGTATCAGATGCTGCTATGCTGGCTCCAGAGGAAGTATTTGCTGGCAAAGGTGATATTAAAGAAGATGCAGAACTTACAAAGGCAGAGAGGAAAAGAAGGAGAGCTAACAAGAAAAGGAAGTATAAGGGTAAGCAAATTGAATTTTCTTTACCTGGTAAAATTCAAACAAAAAAATGGTAATGCCATGTTCTTATTGCACTATTTAGTTTACAAATTTGTGAAAATTTACAAATTGTGTAGATTGAAATTAAGAAATCTAGAATCCCATGATTAGTATGTGGAGACTTAGACTTGTTTGGGAAATAAAAAATTTATGCCTAAGACAGAAAGAAGTTGTTAAACTTGAATAATCATTTATTATTGGTGCATATCCTCTCATCATCCACCCATGTGTACATATGAATTCATGAATTTGTCCAATTAGTGTGGTTGCTATCTTCTACTGTGTCTTTTTAAAGTTTTTGCATACCATTGCAACCGTTAATTTTCATCATCATATCACAGCTGAGGCAGTGAAAGGAATGGCAAAGAAGACATGAGACAACAATGCGTTACCAAACCAAAGTGATGGTGAACCATTCTACTTCCTTGAGTTTTGAATCACTACCTTTACATGATCAATTTAAGGTCATTCCTCACTAGCATTCTTCATAATTTGCAGGCAAGGCAGGATAGGGTTATTTTCGTCTAGGAGGAATTTTCCTAAATACTTCACTGTTAAAATTTTGAGACTGTCCAATCACAAGAACGAGAAAAGGCAGGTGATGTTTTTGTCGATATTGATGTTTCCAAATTTTGTAGCAATAGTGAAAGCTAAGGTAAGATTAGAGAATTATTGCAATGGGGGAGTCCGTTTAAAGTCAGCAACTTGTGTCGTTCCTCCAACTATTGATAGAGATAAAAGTTTTGATAGGCATTGGAATCAGTTGTTTCTTGTTATTCTTTTATTCGGTCTGGTTTGTAAGTGCTGACAATTTTGTATGTTCAACATTTGTTTAATCTGTATTGGAAGTTGAAAAAAATTTATAACGCAACGTTAGAAAATACAATGGTTGCTTGTTATCTTTAAAATGTATGTTTGATTTTTGGATTGTTGCCCCCACTCAAAATTTGGTTGACTAGATGATCTTTGTTTTGAAACAGTGTTTCTCCATTTTAATAAGAAATATATTGGATGCAGCATTGAATATATGCACACTAAAGGCAAGGAATTGCTTACAAATCATAAGAAGCCTCCAGAGCTTCTGAGCAAAGACGCAGTAATTAGCAGTTTAACAGTACCAAATAATTTGTTCCAGACGTTGAGTTGGTGTCTGCTTAATTAAAGAACCTTAATGTGGCTCAAGCAGGTTCAAACTCCAACAATACCAATAAAATAATAACTTGCTAAATTCATAGTAACTTGGAAAAAAGAAAAATCAAATTCAAAGTCTGCAATGATGCAGAAATGATCAACCGAAAAACAAAAAACAGTTGAAAGGAGTCTTATTCTGATAGTAAAAGCTTCATTTCGAATTGTAAATAGCTTACTTTGAGAACAGGGTTGGCCAAAAAACAAAAGAAATAAACTGCTGCGGCACAGCATTGATCTTAAGAGCCTTGAACCTGTTACTTTTAGGATCATAAGAAACCAAACCCCAAGAACCATAAACCATTCCATTGATATTTAATTCCATCAAAATCTCGCGTTTTTCAGTATGCATAAAACTTTTGCAGTTTTACCTCAGTACAGAATCTCATTAGTGCGAGATTAACTTCAGAACCCCTGATGGAGAATTGTTTCACCCAAGATTCCTCCACAATTGTATTCCTTCATCACCCAGATGCCCAATTGAATTTTTCCGCTAAATCCCGCCATGGACAAACACCCATTTATCACAGAAAGAGTTTATTTGCTAAAGTTAATAAGACTAGAGGGCTGTAGGATTCTCTGGAAA